ACCTTTTGCGAGTACATAGTCAAAGTGCCTGCTCCAGGTCAGTTTCTGGTCGAGGTAAACTCCAAGGTATTTTGTTTCCTTCACAAGTTTTACACTTTTCCCCTGAATTTTTGGGGCTGTTAGGTTAGTTCTCCTTCTCGTAAATCAAATCAAATCAAATCGTTTATTAAGCCAGAATTAACAAAATATTGTACAATTTGTATTGGCTATGTCATCATTACAACTATTTACAGAGGTCTTATGCAGTACTAAAAGCTATACAGTTCTATATACATATTTAAGCTACATCACTATTCATCGAGCTGATTTTATTTACAAATTCTTGGACGCTGTAACAGGTAAACTTTATCAACAAAGATTTTAATTGCTTTTTAAATTTTAGCAGGTTTGGTTCAAGTTTAAGAGGAAGTGGAAGTGAGTTAAAAAGTGTTATGCCATTGTACAGTAAGTGCTTCTTGAAAAATGTTGTTGAATGTTTAGGAATTGGTAATGTGTAAAGGAGATTAGCTCTGTTTTGTCAGGGTTAATTGTGAGCCCCTCTTTGGAGCACCACCCCTCAATGAAGCTAACGGCTGTCTGGGTAAGGTAGTTCACTGTGGCTGCGTGTTTGCCTCTAACAGTCAGCACTAGGTCGTCTGCAAAGGCTTGGAGGTCTATGTCTCTCCTGTCAGCCTCTCTCAGTAGATCATCCACCACAAGAGCCCACAGCAGGGGTGAGATAACCCCTCCTTGAGGGCAACCCTGTCGAGCAATGATAGCTGTCGAGTAGCCTCCCAATTCTGCCGTCACCACCCTGCTCTTGAGCAGGGCATTTATCCAAGCTGCTACGTCGGGGGAGATGCCCCTGCTTCTGACTGCAGCCTCTATAGATTTGTAACTCACGTTGTCAAAGGCACCCTGTATGTCCATGAAGACCCCTGCCATAATTTCCTGGTGTTCTAGGGTTTCCTCGATCTTTGCCACTAGGGTGCTTAGGGCCGTCGTTGTAGATTTGCCCTTCATGAACGCATGTTGGCTCGCACTTAGGGGGTTGATAACTAAATATGCATCCCTAATGTGGCGGTTTATCACTTTTTCCATAGTCTTTAGCATGAAAGACGACAGGCAAATTGGCCTGTAGGATTTAGGCTGGGCCTGGTCTCTACCCTTTTTCAGCAGAAACGCCACCCTTGATTTCCTCCAACAAATTGGGATGTAACCTAGGGCAAAGCTGCCCCTGAACAGAGCTATCATATGATTTAAAAGGACCTCTAGTCCTTCTTGGATGAGAGCTGGGAATATTCCGTCCCCGCCTGGAGACTTGAAAGGGCTGAATGAATCGACAGCCCACTTCACGACCTCCGGCTTGAACAGCTTACTCGAAAATCTTCTAGCCAAAGCAATGTCTCTAGGTGATTTCCTATTCCAGGGTATCAAGTGTTGTCCTGTTGAGTTGCCTAGTGGGGTGTTCCCTGGGAAGTGGGTGTTCATAAGGACTTCAAGAGTCTCCTCCATTCCTATTGTGTGACTCCCATCCTCCCGTTTTAATGTACCGAGCGGGTTAGGCACATCTCTCTGAAGGGCTTTTTGCAGTCTAGCTGCTTCTGGTAGGTTTTGAATCCCCTCACAGAACTGCCTCCAGGACTTCCTTTTGCTTTTCCTTATCTCTGAGTTGTACTCCGTTAGGGCTCTTGAGTAGTTAGCCCAATCCCTAGTTCTTTTGGTGGTGTTAAAGAGTTTACGGAGTTTACATCTCATCTTGTTTAGCTTCTCATTCCACCAGGGCACATTTCTTGTTGTCCTTTTGGTTTTGAGAGGGCAATTTTCCTCAAAGGCATTTAGCATTGACCTGTTTAACTGTTCTGCCTTCATGTCAAGGCCGTCAATGGTCATGAGTTGGATCACCTTTTCTTCAACTTCATCCCTGAGGGATTCCTTGTATCCCACTCAGTCTGTTGTTTTAGGAGCCCTATAAGTCAGAACGCTTTTGACGCTTGCTATCAAGTCAAACCTAATATGGCAGTGGTCAGATAGAGAGGCTTCATCAGAGACGTGCCATCCTTTTGTTTCCAGGTGACCAAGGTTTAACGATAGGGTGAGGTCCAAAATTTCCTCTCTTATTCTATTTCTGAAGGTTGGTACATTACCTATATTTTCTATCTGTAAGTCAACCTTAAATATAAATTCCAGGAGATCCTTACCTCTTTCATTAGTGTCCGAACTCCCCCAGATGGTATGGTGAGCGTTTGCGTCACAGCCGAGGATTAGGGGAATCCTCTTGCTTCTAGCATACTCCACCAACTGCACCACCGCCCCCGGAGGACAAGTTTCTCCTGGGTTGGGGAAGTAGGCTGAGGCAACTAGAGCTTTTTGCCTCCCTGCAGTGGAGTCGAAATCGACTTGGATTGTTACCAAGTCACGGCTGATGAATTCTGTAACAGCTAAGCATACGTTGTTAGGGTTCATGAGGATGCAGGCCCTAGGGTTAGCAGATCCCCTATCGTATACCAGCTTACCCACCTGGGTTGGAAGACCTCGAATTGTTCCTCCTCTTACCCAGGGTTCTTGAAGGAGGGCAAAATCGAGCCCTTCGGTGGCAAACCTCCTGCCCAGGGCTGCTGAAGCACCTTTGGCATGATGGAGGTTGGCCTGTATGAATCGGGAATTCATTCCCGTTTCCTGTCTGAGGGGTCACTCTTACCCCTCCTGTCACGGTGATGGGACTCCCTTCTGTCCCCTTGTCTAGGGTTGCTGCTCCTTGGCCGGTACTGCTCCCTTCTTGTAGTTGAGGGCCCCCTGTGCCTCTCCTCTCTCCTTTCCCGGGAGTTTCTCCTGTCGAAGATAGGGAAGTGCCGGGAGTCTTGGCTTCTCCTTCCTTCGCCCCTCCTTGACTCCACTGACCTCACCGTGGAAGTGGTTGTTGAGGGTGGTGTCTTTTTCCTTGCACCCAGGGTGGCAGTTGGTGGTTGCACTGGCGGAGCATTTGGTGACTGCGCTGGCGGAGCGGTTGTTGGCTGCGCTGGAGTGACGGTGGCCTCCCCTTCAGCGTTTGATGTTATGGTGGACGAGGGGGGCTCAGGCCGAGGTGCCGGAGCTGATTGAACAGCTCCCTCCTCCGGACCTTTGCCCCTCAGCTTAAGCGTGACTACACCGAATCTGTAGGCCACAATCAATGGACGGTCCCTAGTGATCCTGGCAGCCGTCTTTGGGTCGATGGACAGGACCAAAATCACTGCATTTCCTTCGACTTCCACTCTGCTCAGAGCCCTCCAAGTCTCTGCTGGCAGGTCTTCGTTTTGCCTGTTGAGTGCCCACAGGATGTGCTGGGTCGAGTACTGGCTACTGTTCGGGAAGTAGACCGTTAGGACTTTTGCCTTGGGAATGTCTCCCTCAGACACGACCTTCACGGTTCCCCCCCTCAAGGCTTATCCTTTCGCCTTTAGTTCTTATCCAGGCAGCCGTCTCCTCATTTGCGCAGACCAGAACCATGTAGCCCTGCCTGCTGTAGACTGCGTTGACGTTGCGTATTGCACAATAACGATCACTATTAACCGTAACTGTTACGCTGTTTTCTTAAAAAAAAAATACGGACCCAGCACACCACCCTGATAAATTGCACACCAAACAGTTACTTTTGGGCTGTGAAGAGGACGTTGGTGAAGTTCTCGGGGGTTTTGTTCAGACCAATATCTAAAATTTTGTTTGTTTACTGCACCTGACGGATGAAAATGGGCTTCGTCCGAAAAAAAGATGACATCTGTGCAGCGCACGTGTGTGAGAATTTCTTGACACAATCTTGTTCGAGTTTCGAAGTCTCTATCACTTAACTCTTGAGCCATCACAACCTTGTATGGGTGCATCTTCATATCTCTGTGGAGAATTCTTCGAACGCTGCGGTCCGACATGCGTAGAGCTGTCGCATGTTTTTGTGCTGAGCGCCATGGTGACTGTTGAATAGAGTTTCTCACCAAAGCGACATTTTCAGGTCCAGTTGCAGTGCGAGGACGGCCAGGAGATTTTCTTTTCAACGCAGAACTTGTTTCTCTAAAATTCCGATTCCTAAATTGTTTTTTTGTCAGGAACGGGGTCATGCTGACCAAGAGCAAAATGAACGCAGAACGATCGCTGTGTAGCTATCGGCGAGCCGCCATTTTTAATGAACTCTTCGACGACGAATGCGCGATGCGTCCCCGACCAAGCCATGGCTAACACTGAAAATGGCAAGTACGCAGCAGCCGAACAACGCTACCCCCACCACTCTACACCGTCCCCGCGCATAGCGGCGCAGCTTTAAAATCGGGGAGTTCTCTCTGCCGCACCCGGTATTTAGTACTCTTTGACTTCCTTATGAGAATTCAAATATTTTTGTTTTACATATGGTTTTCTGTTGTTAATTAATTATTCTGTAAATAAGTTTGACCAATATAGTACATCATAAAAGTTTCTTCCAGTAAAGTATTCTTTAATTTCATTCTATTAAATTAACTTGTAACAATAGTATTTTATAACAAAGGTAAATTGTCATTTTGGTGGCACGTGAATTAGGGATGAGCATTGATAGTTGAGGTTTTCGAAACATCGATGTTCGATGTGTTTTACATCGATGGAAGATTACTGAAGTTTTTTACATCAATGGAAGGTTACGAATGTTTTTTTTACATCGATGTTTTCATCAAACATTGATGTTATTGGCCAAGTATCGAGATAACGATGTTTTCCATCACTGGAGAGTACAAAGAGCAGACGAAAAACTGAAAAAACATCGATGTTTTAGTTCTGCAACGATGTTTTCGCAACGATATTATCGGTACATGTTGACATCAATGTTAAAATGTCAATGTTGATGTGGGTCAACCATGGATGGTGAACATAAATGGTTGACCTATTGATGCTCATCCCTAAAGTGAATGTTGGCGAAGCCCTTGAAGGAATGTCAACCTCACCTCCAAAAAGTAAAAACTTACTTGTTTTAAAGTGTTTGTCTATTCATGTGGTTAGCTTTGGAGAGAAAAAAAAACATGTTTAAAAATAAATTTCTATATTGTCATCATACACTATCAACAATAATACTGATTTGTTTACAAAATAAACAGATATATTTTTTTTACATTTTAGGTACAGTATCCAGATTCACTTTAAAAGTCCATCATGTTTATTTGGTACCTACTAAATTTAAGGTAATTATTTTAAAAGTTGTTTTGATACTAAAACAATTGTTACTTTACTCGCAAAATGTCGATATGACTTTCACCATTCATTTAACACTTTTATCTTTTAGTAGATAAATTGCTACATAAAATGCAAAACAATCAATGGTTTGTTGAACAATCACTTATAACACTAGCAAAAATTTAAGAACAACTAAACAAATATATTGATGAATTAAATAATTTATAATACAGGTAGATGGATTTACAAAAAAATATATGAATAGGATTTAACAAAATTGCACATTAGTGAAAATACATTTGACATGGGAATGTACTGAAATTTGGAAACATCTATTACATTTACTTTGTATTTGTCTTCAAAAAAATAAATGTTCAGGAGTAAAAGTGAAAATAATTGAAAAGAATTAGAAAATGTGTTTATAAAATATTTAAAATTAATTTGATCATTGAATTTTAAAGTTGAGGTAATACACAGCCTCAATATTCACTATTATTTAGTGGACAGTATTGGACAGAGAATGAAGGAAATTAAAAATATTAATAAACTAAAGGATAAAAGTACATATATTTTTTTCAATCTTCTTAAGTTTTGATTTGCCTGTTATAATAAGTTTAGCAGCTTACTTTTGTTACATTACCGCTCATATTTCTAAATATAACTTATAAAACTAAACAATAATTTATTATGAAAACAATATCTTACATAAACTTAAAATACTGGTACGTCTGGACGTTCTTTCTTCCTTTGTATTGTTTTGATACATATCATTAAAAAATTACAGTATTTTGACTTTTATTGGGTAACTATCTCGACCACATTGAATATCCCACAAGCAGGGGTTTAAAATTAGTAGCCTTATGGAAATACAACATAATTATCATCACTTTAACTCTGACTTAGCCATCAAGTTCTTTATCTGGTAAATGAGTGTTCACAAACCTAACCTAGGAAACTTAAAAGTATACAAGAGACTACGGAAGACGGACGATCGTTTGTGTCACGCAACATTTTCAGAATGCGGGATAACTGTAAAGTCGTCAATGGGCGATTGTAGTAGAGGTTTGGCTGTTTTTGGTCCGATGCAGCCGACCAATCGCTGCGCAGCGTAAAGAGACAGCAGTGGTACTGGAGACATCACAGCTACAGCCACAGGCACCACTGTGGAAAAGTGAAACATTACTTATCTCAACACTTAAGTATAGAAGGGGGTGTTGGGATAGCTAATTTTTCTGATAGTCAACCATTGTTGGTGAGATCACTATTTTTTTAAACTTTGCCTGATAAAATTTAAACTTATTAATTACATAGATATTTGCTGGTTTTCACTAATTGTATTTTCTGAGTGTTGTTGGGAGTGAAGCGCTGCATACTGAGGGAGTGATGTTAGGGTCAGTGAACCCACTACTCAGCCTTGCTATTGGCATCAACACCCGTGTCTACCCAAACCCCTAAGTTATTAGACCACAGTAATGTTTGTTAAAAGGCCCCCATTTACTGCACACAATAATTTCTCTACTGTTTGGCTGTAATTGGTTAAAGAAAAACTAGTGCATACCTTTTAGCCTAGTTGCATATATGTAAAATTATCAATTTTATCAAAAGTGGAGAGTCCTTTTCAGTAGATTTTGGTCCCAAAACATATTTAGGGACTGAAATCCCAAAACCTATCTTTCTTGTAGGCTGAAACACAGAGAAGCAAGATACAGAGGATACAAGCTTATCGGACAACAATGCGCTTTTAGCTCTGGTATGGTGGGACGGAAATGTACTTGTACCAAGTAAGGAAGAGCCCAAACAGCGATGACCACATAGCGTTGTTGTACAGCAGTTGTGGCGCACGGGGTCTTCCCATACTTGATGACAAGAGGGGGAAGGAGTGTGGAAGGGGATGACCAATGGAATTTGCTCTAGACACTAGCAATTGGTTCTAGACACCACTTAAGTCTAACATTGAATGTATCTTCTGTATCTTACTTCTCTGTGGCTGAAATCAATCTATAGCCACTACTTTCACTCATTTCTACCATGGTAAAGAATTGTTTTAGCTGCACTGTCTTTTAAAATATCAGGGTTTTCAGGCAAAATACTTTCCTAATAATTGACAATGCACTGTTTTTAACACAGTGTTTTACTTGTCTACGTTTATTTTTACTGACCGGATTACGACTTAATAATTTAAATCAAAAAATGCTGATGTAGTGAATACAAAAATTAATAATAACTCACCGATGCAATTACTTACGGCACAATTAAATAAATGAATACTAATAACTAACTTGGATAACTTCTTATATTCAAAAATCTGAGTTATGTTTACCAGATCTCAAACCTCTCTACAGTTCCAACATTTATGTTAAAATTAAAATTCAGGAACTGTTAAAATGTAGAATGCTGGCAAGCGACTCGGCGTATGTGAACCAGGCTTTCACAGTGGCAAGCAAATTTTTCCACACTTTCCCTTATTGTCTACAGGCCCTAGTCCTGTTGAAAAGCGAGAAGAGCTTCACTCCCAATACTTGACGAATGCAGTAGAATGTTGTTTATTTTCAATGTCAGATATCGTTGCATTTTCAGCTACATATTCCTAAGCTAAACTTTAACCATTTATACTTTTTTAACAGCTAAAAAATCATAAGTATCTTAGAAAGCACTATGATGTTAGATTTAGATAGGGTAGACTGTTAGAATCAAATCAAACATACCGACAGAATAGCGGAAGAACTGTCAATGACAAATGCCCAAAGGCAACTGAGTCGAAATGGCTTGCACAGTCATGGATCATGGGAACGGGGGTTTATGGGGGGTTTTATGGGGTAAAAATGGGTTTTTCCCATTTTTGACCATAAAAACAAAAAAAATTTCAATTTATTCTTAAACTGTTTTGTAGAGCTTAAAAAAGGAAATAATTTAGTATATTAAAGCGCTGTTGTATGCCTTACGGTCACAGAGAAAATTCAAAAATAGTGTAATAAAAAATTCCCATGTTATTCTTATGGAGAAAATGAAAACTGTTGTAGTTTACTTGTTTATGGATAGATATATTGATAAAATTTAGCAAATTTATTTATTTCATCCTATACTATTGACGTATGGTCAAAAAACACTTTTTACCTTCCCCGTAGCAGCAAACCTAAGCACTTGTTAAATCTAATGTTATTTAAATTGGGAATAAATATGTCTTATTTATGGAGAGAGTTTTAGTAAAAATGTAATCAGACAAGTTGAAATTCGCTTAGTCTGCAGGTATGCTGCGGCGGGGGTATTTAGTTTCTCTCTTCCTTTAGGTTAACGGACATTCTGATGACCAAACTTTGGATAATTGATGTTCTACTACTATGCTATTCTGATCCAATGTACATACAGATATACAGGGTGTTTCAGTAAAGCGTAGTGGGCCATGCAGATCCAGATTCTAAATGCAAAAATAAGTCAAAAATGTAGAAAAACTTTTTTTCGATTTCGGCTTAGTTTAGCCGTAATCCGCCATTTTGTATTTTTTTGAAAATGATTAATATCTCAAAAACCCTTGGAAATATTTTTATAACACTTGGTATAAACTTTAAGTCTACAGGTATAAACATTCTCCGAAAATATCTTTGATCAGGCTCATCAAATTTCAAAATGGCGGCCATTTAAAGTTTTTAAAGTAAAATTCCATGAAAACCAGCCATTAAAGCAAAATTTTAAATGAATTTAAACCATTTTGAAATTTGATGAGCCTGATCAAAGATATTTTCGGAGAATGTTTATACCTGTAGACTTAAAGTTTATACCAAGTTTCATCAAATATCTCCAAGGGTTTTCGAGTTGTTAATTATAAAAAAAAATACAAAATGGCGGATTACGGCTAAACCAAGCTGAAATAAAAAAAAAGTTATTCTTTCTTTTCGACTTTTTATTGCATGTAAAATCTGAATCTGCATAGCCCGCTACCCTTTACTGAAACACCCTGTATAGAATGACTGACGATCATATTATATTAACTAAGGTGATTAAAATAAATATCAATTCTTTAATACGTTCACAATGGAAATATTTTACTGTCTGTCTGGAAAGCAAAAATACATGAGAACATTTAAGGTTTATTCAGGGCCGGATTTACCATTTGGGGTAGGCCCAGGCCCATGGGCGCAAGCTCCCAGGGAGCGCACGGCTAAGGGGAAAATATTTTTTTAGTATCTAGGAATAAAAATAAATAGCCACAACTTATCATATTCTGCAAATTGGTTTTCAAAAAATCTGGCTAATAAAGCATTCTGATTTTAAACAAATAATTGTTATAAAGTTAAAGTATTTTTTAACATTACGCATCAACTTCATTACAACATTGGTCTTAAAAACAAGATAAGGCTGTAGGGTTGTCATCGAGCGGTACTCATTGTATTGCCACTGCCACTAGTTGGCTCGGTGCTACTGCTTGGAGTGATTCGGAATTAGAGCGCATGCCAATGTTATTGCCGAGACACTGTTACCATTCTCACCTCGCAAAACAAAAGTTATTAACCAATAGTTTTGTTTTTATAGCTTACAACCAGCAGGATCAAGTTCAAATATTGTGTTTAATGTAAAACAATTACGAGTTTGTCTTAAAAATTAACAAAAAGATATTAATCTGAGTTTGCAATAGGTTTTTCAAAAAATAAAATACTCTCCAAAGTGCCATTTTAATTCTACCATTCTCTTCTCAGGCCTGAGGATTGGTATGGTTGGTTAAAGTTAAAATATATTTCTTTGTGAATCTAATCTAGATGCAGTATCACCAATCACCAGTAAAACCTAACAGAATCAGGCCTCTAATCACATTGTTAAATCTAAGTATTGTTTTTCATGTCTAATTCATGTTGGAGTGCTAGTGTCAAAGAAATTTTTTTTTCTTATTTTGGGGTTCATTTTATGATTTGTGTTTTAATTTCTTGTAATATAACCAGAAAAGAAGCTCTTGTTTATGATTAGATTTTTTTATTTGGTTTTGGTTTTAAAAAACTTAAATAACAGGAATTGTCTTCAGCTGATCCACGAGGATGACAAATCTACAAAGGTAGTATGTATAATCTATGGTATCACTTACTGTACGGAGTTAATGTTTTTTACTTTTTTTTACTAAAAATTTGAAGCCACAACTGTGGCAGCAATGGCCATGCCTTGTTGCAGTAATGGTCTGCGGGTTATATCGCTTCGTTTCAGTCCTACAAACAGGGCATAAAAAAACATGTTATTTGGGCGACATTTGTGCTGAGATTTTGTCGCCCAGTGACTATGGGTGGTACCGGCATTTTTTTTTAATGATTCACATTTTAAATGTATCAAAATTTAAAAAATAACACTATGTAAATATTTTAGAATATTGAGCTATGATTTTGGCCTAAGAGGTCAAGAAGAGAGCCTTAGCCTGTTACAATGTTCTAGAATACGTAAATCCTATACTCTAATATGAGCAATGTTTGCTTGTATGCTTGCTTGCACAAAGATCTCGAAAACGACTCCGACAATTTTCTTCAAATGTTGTAAGTAGTTTATTTCTGGCCTAAAAACAAGTTTACTGCAGTTAGAACTGCCAACAAAAATCTAATCTATAAGTATAAAAGAGGATGTTTGTATATATATATTTGGCAGTGATAAACTCAGACACCGCTGAACCGATTGCCACGAAACTTGGTACATACGTGTAGAATTTCATGGAATAGGTTTATACACCATCAATTTCGTGATCCGTCCTATCGGCTCCGCCCCAGTGGCTCTGGAGTTTCCCATGTTAACCTTATGAGAAATGGAATTAATGAATCTTAACAGCTGTTTCAATTAAACAAGTTGGTTCTGTTCTATGATGTTCAATAGCATTAAAGTTACAAGGATTACCAACAGTATGCAGCACTATTATTTCTTTTACATTTATGACAACAGCTAATTTGCAACCAAAAGGTGAGTGAGCATAGCGAACGATTTTCAACCTGGAGGCGAGTTAGCGAAGTGAACGAGCTAACCTGAAGGCAAGTGAGCGTAGCGAACGAGCTAACCTGAAGGCAAGTGAGCGCAGCGAACGAGCTCCAACCTAAAGGTGAGTGAGCGTAGCGAGCGAGCCCCAACCTAAAGGTGAGTGAGCGTAGCGAACGAACTTCTACCAGGACGTGATTGAGCCATGCGAACGAGATCATCTTGAA